ACTTCCTCAAGCCCCCCTGGTAGATTGCAGAGATGGTCAATAGACGGAACGTTCGTAGTTTTCGCTTACCTTTCGATGGGAAAGGTTTTTCATCATTGATTTACTTCCAGAAAAAAAGCACATCCATATTTATAGGTGTTTCAAAAGCGCACCGCTCATCTAACTCTGGCTATTCCATGTCGGATAGAATTAATTCTACAAAGTTTCAGAAGTACGATTGAACCAGGAATTTGAAAGGATTCTCGAAGTTATCTTGAGTTTGATTGATCTTCTTAATGAGAATAAATAGAGTATATACCTGGGTCTGTATTTAATAAAAGACAAAATCGATATATGAAACTGACTCACAGAAATACAGATCACTTTCCCCAACAAGACCAATGTGGAAAGAGTGTTCCAGGATTCCCATCTCCATCCTCTGCCAGACTTCTCTGCTAGGTCCCTCCATCGTCTGTGTTCTACTGATCTGTCAGTTCCTGGAGCAGATGTGGCCGACCTCCGGGATAGCTTTCTGCCTCTGGATCCCTATCACTGGGGCTGTGGTGCTGCCCCTCGTCTACCTCGGCTCCCCGGCTGACTTCTGGTAACCTTTCTTATAACCCACCTTCTTATCAGTGCTCATTTACGAGGGGATAATGGCGGGAAATATGGAGAGACCATGAGGCCCACCCTCAGTAGAGGAAGGCACTGAAGGAGGGAGATATGAAGAGTCCATCTGGCCCACCCTCAGTAGAGGAAGGCACTGAAGGAGGGAGATATGAAGAGACCATGTGGCCCACCCTCAGTAGAGGAAGGCACTGAAGGAGGGAGATATGGAGAGACCATGTGGCCCACCCTCAGTAAAGGAAGGCACTGAAGGAGGGAGATATGGAGATGCCATGTGGCTTACCTTCAGTAAAGGAAGGTACTGAAGGAGGGAGATATGGAGAGACCATGTGGCCCACCCTCAGTAGAGGAAGGCACTGAAAGAGGAAAATCTATATAAAGTACAAGATCTAATTTGCAGAATCAAAGTGTCCTCTTATATCGGAGAGCTGCTATTTAGTAAAAAAAAAAAAGGATAAATTTTGTAAATTTCAGTTGAATAGAGAAGTAGTAGAGAGAATTAAAAAAAAAAAAAAATATTATTGTGGTTTAAAAACCCTCGATATAGTTGTTTTCCAAGAGACAATCCTGGGTATAAGGATAGAATTAAATCACCATTAGTTAGCCTCATAGTATTCAAGATAACGCGCACAGAAACCTATCTCTCTAAAACTAAAAATGATGATATATTAGAAAGGTATCATTATATTTACGCCAAATCACAACTACAAAAACAAGAAGAGATATGTAAATGGGGTATTTCAAAAAACACATTACAAAAAATAATTGCTTCAAAAAAATTTTATCATAAAAAGATTTTCTTTCTTCAAAAATTACTAATTAAAAGTTTAATCAATATTGAAAATATGATAAAGGATTCTGTGTGTCCAGGTTATTGGGTGCCCTAGGATTTATCACCAGCATGACAGCCTGTATTCTAGCCCTAGTTGTCACCTGGTGTGACGCCCGACTGCTGCCTCCTCACTCTCTGTCGCCGTGGCCGTCCTCCATGGACGACTTTTTCCTAGCCTCCAGTACCTTTGCCTTCGCCTTCACGGGCGGCGCAGCCTTCCCGTCTTTCCAGCATGACATGAAGCATAGGGAACGTTTCCCTAAAGCAGTGGCTATTGGCTTCACCGGTAGGATTCAATTTAGTTTAGTTTTAGCTAAATAAAACGGTGATTGAAGAGAAGTATCTTGTGCGAACTTTATTAGCAAGCTTTCGGACGTCCTTCTACAGGCTTTTTCGATAACTAAACAAAAGACGATATGAGTTTTCACACACACACACACACCTTTATTAAGACACACAGGTCTTACAGAAGATTCTCCTTGGGGTTACAAGACGGAGAAACCTATGAAAGTAGGAAATATACAAAGGGGTAAAAATGGAGAAAGATTATATAGACATGATAGATATATATGAGATGAGTTTTCATAAGAGTTCCTTTAAAAACTCATCTCATCTTTTGTTTAGTTATTGAAAAAGCTTGTAGAATATCGTCCGAAAGCTTACTAATAAATTTCGCACAAGAAACTTCTCTTCAATCTCCGTTTTATTTTTCTATTTTAACTCGAAGAGTTTATTTTAGGAGATTAGTTTAGTTTTATAGAACTTTTTTTTAGAAGTTTGATCAAAATTTTATTACTACATGTCAATGATAGAATTCAAATCTCAAAAAGAGAAATGATAGTTGAGGATCATGATAATATTGGGAAGTTGCTATGATTAAATTTAATGAGAATCTTTCTCTCACCAATAAAGTAGAAATCATATAACTGCTTGGTCATATGTAATAAAGATTTATACCTCATAACCAATATGAGCGGCATGTAATAAACTCTGATGCTTTACAGATGAATTATTTTGGCGAATATTTTGTGTAGTGTATATGTCATATAATAAAGGGCCATATAGAGAAAATGTATCTTATAAAAAGATATTGGTTAGTAATATTTGGCATAGTCAGCCACATTGCCCTGCCTTTTTTACATAATGGCTGTTAAATTCTGAGAACTCAGGGATTATTGCCCCACTCGGGGAAGAGTATAAAACATTCCCTGGATTTGATGATCTGGGGGCAGATCTCTCCGACGCCGTCTCCACGCAGGTTGTCCCTTTGGTGGACCTCGGACTTTCTCTTTCATCTTTAACCTATATTATTATCCATAGTACACGTGGTACAGGCCATGATAATCATAGTGGGTAGAAGTTGGCGATTGATTTTACTGTAAGTGCACCACATATTTGCACGTGTAAAACGCAGTTCGACTTTTGCACTTACAATTGTGCCAGAGCCCCGTTTGTTTATTTGAATTCGCTGGTGAGGCTGAACTTTTGCAAGAATCGGGGATCATTGGAGCACTTTTTATTTAGATAAAAAGTGCCCAATGCGGGATTCAATCCCGGGTCATAGCGGTCAAAAACCAATTGTTTAGATCACCCTTCCACCGACTCCCTTACCCAATCTCTGACCTACTTCTCACAGTTTCTTGCTCCTGGATCCTGTCTCCTGTGTACGTCCTTTACCACTCTCACCTCGACTTCTCGCAATCGACCACAAACATGTATTCTAAATTTGTTTTATAATTATTATCCCTGTTTGTCCAGTACTGCTATCACTGTACGTTGTGGTGGCAATGAGTGGACAGCACGTCTACGGCCCTCAGGTCTCCCCCAGCCTACTCCTGTCCCTGAGTCACCCGCCCTTGCGGTCAGCAGCTCAGGGAGCCCTCATCCTGCACCTCGTAGCCGTGCTGGTCATCGCCCTCAATGTGCCTTGCCAGGAGCTCGAGCAACTCTGCCATATTCCTAGAGGTACGGAGTCCCTTCCAAACCTCGCTGTGCATACCTATATCATTCTGAATATAGAGCGATCCATAATTTATTTATATTTTAAAAATAAGGGTTATTTTGGATTGTAATAAGATTATTTATTAATCCGATATTTCGGTGGACCAATCTTCCATCTTTTTCGAGGTATGGGGCACGCGACCTGCTACGTGCTTCACGGCAAAATACCTCGAAAAAGGTGGAAGATTGGTCCATCGAAATATCGGATTAATAAATAATCTTATTACAATCCAAAATAAGCCTTATTTTTAAAATATCTATATCAGTATCGTAGCTTGGATTTATATAGACTAAAGATATTAAAACCATATCAACCATCTCAAATATATTTAAAACTAATATCAAATCTTGTTAACACGAATGTTTAAAGGTTGATTACTATCGAGCTCTTCCAATATTTTCATCATTGCAGTAAGGGAAGTAGTATTTTTATCTTGAAAAGAAACGTTCGAGCTCTAAATAGTTTCAATTTCTGAATGTAGATGGCGCGCTAATACATTATACTTTATTTATCGATGTTTTGGCGATACTCTTTTATTTAAATTTTGACTTAACACGCTGCTAAGTTCCATGTATACAAACTTTTACTAGTCAACAGTAACTTAATGTCAACCTTTTTCTTTTATTTTGTTGCTTAATTTTGTTATCCTCTTGTGTAAAGATTATACGAATTCCATGAGTCCATGCTCCTCGAGCTGTTTGATGATAAACAGCGGTCTCTCCCAAAGGTCCTGTTTAGTACATCTAATGCAAACCAAAATGTGTTCTGGAGCTGCAGGTGCCAAGCTACATTTTTAGCAAGTGGGGTAGATTTTGTTGCTATTTTCTATCTTCAATAACTTGAGATGGCCTGTTCTAAATATTGACTTTGATATATTTTACTTTTACACTATTGAAATATGTTTTGATCTTCATTGGAAAATATACGTGGACGCAGAGCAGCAGCTTTACATGCCTAAGATAGAAAACATTGTGACTGCTGTGATAGAGATGCACGAAGACATCCAGGGCTCTTCATTGGACACGACAACAACAAATCTTGCTAAAAATGGTATAATTTCTTATACAATTGTATATCTTAGATTCTAAATCTTAAAATTAACAATACAGTATAATCTTCCAAAGAAAGGCCGTTAAATCAAGAATACTCTTGGTTTCTCCTGGAGGTTGGATTATATCAGATCGAGCACTTTTTGAATTCTACAAGGATTTATGTCGTCACTTCTCAGATGAGTTCTAGGTGAAAGGTTTTGCTCTCTCTCTCTCTTTCTCTGTATTCTCTCTCACTCACTTTTTAATATTGTGACACTGGGACGACCAGCATTCTATTTACATTTCTTTTTTTTTTTTTTGCTTATTCCTAGTACACGTGGTACAGGCCATGATAATCAAGGAGGGTAGTTAGCGACTGCTTTTACTGTAAGCGCACCACATGTCTACACATGTGAAAAGCAGTTCGACTTTGCACTTACAAATGTGCCAGAGCCCTGTTTGGTTACTTGCACTCGCTGGTGGGGTTGGACTTTTGCAAGAATTGGGGGCCATTGGAGCTTTTTTTAACAGAAAAAAGTGTCCAGTGCGGGAATCGAACCCGGGTCCTAGTGGTCGAAAACCAAACGGTTTAACCAGCCTTTCACCGACCCCCTCAATTTTATGATACAATAGAACCTCTATGAGAGGACACTCACGCTAGAAGATACCTCTCTATAAAGGACAGTTTTCATCGCCTAAAATACCATTTTTTACTATTTAGAAACTCTCCAGTAAGAGGACATCTCTCTCTAAAGGACACTTTGGTTCTGCAAATAGGTGTCCTTTACAAAGTAGTTCTACAGTATAGTAGAACTTTCCATAAGTGACCTCTTGAAAACATTTATTACGGAGTAAAGCCTCTAAACTAATTTCTACCTGTGTAGACATCTAGTACACTTACAGTAAAAGCAGTCACCAACTTCAACCCACCATGATTTTCATGGCCTGTACTACGTGTAATAGGGATAATTAAAAATAGAGAGAGTCTTCCACGAGAGATCACAGCCTAAAAACATGGCTAAACTCAGTTTACTCTGGAGGTGGTAGCTTATCATAGACGCTGTTACGATTGAGATTCTTCATGATTCGGACCAACATGACAGAGAATTTGTTAAGAGATCACTTCCAGGAGAGAGAGAGAGAGAGACAGTATTTAGTCATGTTTTTGGGCTCTTGGTAGTCTCTACTGTAAACTTAAGTTTCCCAGAAGTGGTCTCTCATCGGAAGTTTTGTTATGCAGCGTCAAGTCATTTTTGATTTTACATTGGAACTTTTTTTTTGTTGATTATTCTAGGTTCCTGGAGCGTATAGCCGGTTTATCAAAGTATCCGGAAGAAAGGATGATTCTCATCAAATGAGTGGTTCATGAATGGTTGGTTTCCCTACATTATGATTTGATGTCTGGTGAACCCTTTTCGCCTTCCTTACCGGATTGCATATGCAAATTGAATATTAAGTCCGAGAAATATCCCATTATATTTACATATGTACAGATTTCATATAAAGGGAAGGTGAGGTGATCCCTTTATCCTCCTCCCTCCAAAAATGTTCACACAATCCTCACTCTTATATAAGTTGATAGGACTTCAAAAACCTTCCATAAAAATGCCTTGAAACATTTTATATTTGTAAAAAAAAATAGTACAAATGTGAAATTGTACTGGGATAAGGTGTATGAATTATGAAAAAAGAAAGGCATCTCCTTATCGTGTAATTGAAAGTTACTGCACCATTCCGATAGATGGCGCAAGCCATCAACAACTTTCAGTTGCAAGATATGGAGATACCTTTCTTTTTTTTATTTTATATTATGTTCCTTTTCTCTTTTTTCCATGTTTTCTCTTCTTTTATTTTTATGTTTTGCCTAACCTAGGAAGATTCTGTATAAGACGTATGATCCAAATAAAAGATGTGAATATTTGAAACTATTATAGACGCGTATGATTCTTTTGAAAATTAAACAATTTCTACTGCCCTTACTGTAATGGAAAAATTAAAGGGAAACCCTGGGTTATCAGTAGAAATTGTTTAATTTTCAAAAGAATCATAGGCGTCTATAATAGTTTCGAATATTCATAACAGATGGCGCGCTATACATCATGATAAAAGGTGTGTTTATGATTTGACTAGCCGAATGACCCGGGCAACGCCCGTGTTTTACCCGACTGTAGATGTTACAACGGTGATCCTTAGGTCGCTGGTTCAAATCCGGCTCGAGTGAGTTTTTTTTTTTTTTTTTTTTTTATTATTATTGGCTGCCGGCGAGCACGTGACCTCCCTGTGCGCGCGAATCCGTGACAGAGGCGGCCGGCCGGTGAGGAAAGACGGTCGTGACTATATATATTAATGTGTAATAAACAAAGAACAGATTCAGCGTGATGATTAACATGGTGATCCATGTCTGTTGGCAGCCTTCACTTGGAGGAGAGCTGTTCTAAGGACGACAGTCATGGTCTTCGTCATCTTTGCCTGCGCCTCTCTCCCAGACTTCAGCAAGATCCTCAACTTAGTGGGAGCGTTCGCTTCCAACACGGTCAACTTGGTCTTGCCATCACTCTTCTATCTCTTGCTCTGTGGCCAGAAAGGAGACTGGCCGGATAGGTTGGTATATGGATTGTACCTAGGTAGATTAGGACACTTTTATTGACTTCTTAGTTAATATTTACATGAAAAAGATCAAGAGAACTATATGCAATCATGGCGTCAGTTTTTGACGTTTATTTTGATGGGAGAGGCGCCCTGTGCTTCTATGAATCAATTTCCTCCCGGAAAATCTTCCATCTATATGCAATCAGCCAGGTGTTCTTTCCCACCGCGATAGTGTCCTCCTCAAGGCGATGACAGGGTCCTCGATGGTCTGGCCCCAGTCCGACCTGGTCGAAGTACCGGTTGATTCTTGATTTCACCGATGCGAGGATGGCCAGCTCGTCTTCTATCAGACCTAGGTAGATGTGTTTGATATCGAGGGAGAGAAGACTTTACTAACATTATTCTCAATCATAAAGATAGAGGCTGCCTTGCCGGTATTGGAACCTTATAATAATTTTTAACGCCTTGCCAAATGTTTTAATTTTTGTTTGCTTCTGACGAGGACAAAAGATTTTTGTCGAAACGTCGAGGTAATAAAAAGATTTACTGGCCGAAGTATCTTTGTTTTCAAGAAATTATTCTCAATGTTGAAAACAATGGAATATCGACACAAATAAAAAACCTACGCAGTAGAGTCTCCCATGAGAAACCTCCTAAAATACATATATGGACAAAACTTAAGGAACTAGAAAGTCTTTGATGCCGCTGATCGTTTGTTTTTTTAAGGAGACAGAGACAATTTTGTTCATACTTGGTTATCTCTCACACACACAAAAGCCTTTATTAGGGACTTACCCCATACAGATTCTCCCAATTGGGTAAGGTAATAATCATCTTGTGTTATTTACATAGGTAGTGAAATAGATATTGAAATGGCTTTACTCTTCGTCGTACTTGGTTATCTCGTATGTCTTCAATAAAGTTCACTTTAATATCTTTCAGAGTTATTGTCTGAATCCCGATATATATTGTCAAAGAGCTCCATCCAGATGGGACAACTGTCAATCATCCCTGGACCCCGGGGGGGACCACAGGTGTGGGGGCTTCTGGGAAGCTGATCGGTAAATAAGGAAAACGGGACGGTGGCTAACGCCGTTCATTCAGGATTAGCTTTAACTGGGGGTAAGTTGTACAAAAACTCTCTCTCCCTATAATTACTCCTTATAATAAATTAATTATCCCCAAACTTTCCCTTGCTTTATTTATCTCCGCGACAATATACTAAAAGGTACAACTTCCTTTTGTCTCATGAGGGTATGATTAAACTGGTTTCTCCTAGAGATGGTGGACTCTGTCATGTTAGGCCAAGTATTGACAAAGTCTTTCAGCAGAAACAAAGTATCTGATAAGATACTACCTCCAGGATAACCAGGATTAGTCATTTCTATAAAATAATCTCCATCAATATTGAGTAAAATCAATCATTACTTCAGGGAAAAGTATCTTTTCAAAACATTTTTATTGTTCTCTAGCTTTCAGGCACGGACGTCCTTCTACAGGAGAAAACCTGGTATGCATTGATTTCTTGTATATCTAATTCAAATAAAATTCGATTTGATTAAACTTGAGCTGACATTTCTATAAAATAATCCCTTGCATCATTATTAAGTAAATTAATCAGACCTCCAGGGAAAAGTGTCTTTTCAAAACATTTTTATTCTCTAGCTTTCGGTCACGGACACCCTTCTACAGGAGAAAACATGGTATGCAATGATTTCTTGTATATCTGATTAAAAAATTCGATTTGATTTGGCGAGAGATTCAACTTGAGCTGACAATTTCATAAAATAATCTCCATCAATATTGAGTAAAATTAATCATTCCTCCAGGGAAAAGTGTCTTTTCAAAACATTTTTATTATTCTCTAGCTTTCGGTCACGGACACCCTTCTACAGGAGAAAACCTGGTATGCATTGATTTCTTGTATATCTGATTCAAATCAAATTCGATTTGGCAAGAGATTCAACTTGAGCTGACAATTTTATAAAATAATCCTTTGCATGAATATTGAGTAAAATTAATCATTCCTCCAGGGAAAAGTGTCTTTTCAAAACATTTTTATTGTTCTCTAGCTTTGACACGGATGCCCTTCTACAGGAGAAAACCTGGTATGCAATGATTTCTTGTATATCTGATTCAAATAAAATTCGATTTGATTCAACTTGAGCTGACAATTTTATAAAATAATTCCTTATAATAACGAATAGATTCAAAAAGGATAAGTTTCTTTATTTGAAAAATCAATTCGAGCTTTCGGGCGCAAAGCTGCCCTTCTACAGGAATAATGGATACAATTTCAAGTAGTCATGTATGTAATTCCTTGCATGAATATTGAGTAACCATTTGGTAACTTACACTCACTGGATCAGAAGTTACTACGAACAAGCAACTATAGCTATCAGATGGAAGGGATCATTTACGGAAAGTATTAAGATAAACTCGGGAGTACTCCAGGGAGAACCACTTTCCCCAATGCTCTTTATATTATTTATCACGGACTTAATCGAAATTTATAATAATTCAGACCTGACGAATGTAAATTTGCCAGAATTTGGAGATATCCATTTACTGCTGTACGCCGACGACATAGCAATTATAGGTGAGTCCAGGATGAACCTCCAAAAGAAGATCAAAATACTGAAAGAATATCTCGATGAGAACTTAATTACACTTACACTCACTGGTATGATTGAACTTTTGAAAGATTTGGGGCCCATTGAAGCAATTTTTGCTTTAGAAAAAAAAGTACCCAATGTGGGAGTCGATCCTGGATCCTGGCTGTCGAAAACCGACGGTTTATTCACCAACCTTTTCTTCCAACATCATTGTGATAGATTATGTTAAAACTTGTAGTAATCTAATAACTTTCACCGATTAAAACGGCAGGTTTTCTGTTGACCCAGGACTCTGCGATGGCACCAGAAGGCGTATCTAGTAAAACTTGCTGCCTTGGGGATCATTCCTCCAGGGAAAAGTGTTTTTTTCAAAACCTACCAGGTTTTCTCCTGTTGAAGGACGTCCGTGAC